AACCACTAAATGGCAAGCATCACCACATACCTATCAATATTAACAATGAATGTCAACGGACTCAACTTCCCCATCAAAAGACACTGTTTGGCAAACTGGATTAAAAAGGAAGATCCAACAATCTGTTGTTTACAGGAGACCCCTCTCATTAACAGAAAAAAAAAAAAAAAACAACCCACTGGCTTAGGGTGAGAGGCTGGATGAAAATTTACCAAGCCAATGGCCCTCAAATACAGGCAGGTATAGCAATACTTACATTTGACAAAGTAGATTTCAAACTTACATTGATCAAATGAGATAAAGAAGGATACTTCATATTAACAAAAGTGAAATACAACAAAAGGAAATAACAATTATCAACCTATATGCATCCAAAGTCAGTGCACCCAATTTCATCAAACATACTCTAAAGGACTTAAAAGTACATACAGATGCCAACACAGTGGTAGTGGGAAACATTAATGCCCACCTATCATCAATAGATAAATCATCCAAACAAAAAATCAATAAAGAAATTCTAGAAGTAAATCACACCATAGATCAAATGTACCTGACTGATGTCTACAGAATATTTCATCCAACTTTTGCACAATATACATTCTTCTCAGCCACCTATGGAACTTTCTCCAAAATTGATCATATCTTGGGGCACAAAGCAAGCCTCAGCAAATATAAGAAGATAGAAATAATCCCATGCATTCTATCTGATCACAATGCATTAAAACTAAAACTCAATAACAAAAACAACAACAGAAAATATGCAAACAATTGGAAGCTGAATAACACATTGCTCACTGATTAATGGGTCACAGATGAAATAAAAGAGGAAATTAAAAGGTTCCTGGAAGTTAATGAAAATGAAAACACGATCTACCAGAACCTGTGGGACACAGAAAGTCAGTCCTGAGAGGAAAGTTTATAGCCATGAGTGCATGTATTAAAAGGACAGAAAGATCTCCAATCAATGACCTTATGCTGCTTCTCAAACTCCTAGAAGAATGAGAACAAGCAAAACCCCAATCAAGCAGAAGGAGAAAAATAATAAAACTAAGAGCTGAAAATAATGAAATAGAGACCAAAAAAAATCATACAAAGAATCAACAAAACAATAAGCTGGCTCTTTGAGAAAATAAAAAAGATTGACAAGCTCCTGGCAAATCTGACTAAAATGAGGTGGGACTTTAGATCTAGATATAGGGTCACATGACAAGGGGAGAAACACATACAGGAGGTATGGGGATAGGTAGAAAACCCAAAACATGAAAGAGTTTGATGTCCCCACTCCAGAGGAACTAATACAGAAACCTTAAAGCTACAGAGATCAACATGAGAAGGGGATCAGGAACCAGTGTAAAGATCAGTTAGAGATAAATCAACCTGGGTTGTAACACATTTGATCATGGAAGCAATGCTAGGAATCTCTCTGTATTGCTGTCCTTATCTCAACTAGCAAAAATGCTATGTCTTTCTTATTATTGCTTATTTCTACTCCTCAGTGGAACTGGAGAAAAGCGCAGAACAGGTTCTGCCTGGAAGTGAGGGTGGAGAGGGGAGAGAGTGGGGGTGGGGGGCAGGGGGAGAAATGACCCAAACAATGTATGCACATGTGAATAAATGACTAATAATAATAATAAAAAGTTATCTATAGGTGAATGGGAAGAATGTAGTCAACATGACAGTAGCAGGACAGGACTTTCCAGCATGTAAATGATAACTTGTTGCTTTTTGAAACATGTGAAATTACCTAGTCAGAAAAAAAAAGGATAAAAAAATAGATGTGGGGGCAGAAATAAAAATGTGCAGGATTCTTGCAGATTGCTTTTTCTTTTTCTGAGGGTTAAGAGTGAGAAAAATCACAATCCCCTGATTCAGTGTATTGCTATTGCAGTGGCATGAACTTGGAATCTTTCTTCCCCTTCACTGAGAAGTAATTTGTTAAAGTGTTGCTGGTAGAAATATTGGAGTTGGGAATAAGTTTCTATGTTAAATTTGCATTTTATGTATGGATTTTTAAAGATTGTATTTATGAATTTAAAAGTGGTTATTAAGAAAAAAAATGTCATCCACAAAAAAACAAAACAAAACAAAACAAAAACCACACTAAGATTCCACTTCAGTCCTGTTAGAATGGCTATCATCAAGAACACCACCACCAACAAATGTTGGCAAGGATGTGGGGAAAAGGAACCCTCAATCACTGCTGGTGGGAATGTAAGCTAGTACAACCACTTTGGAAAACAATATGGGGGCTTCTTAAAAATCTAAACATAGATCTGCCATATGATCCAGCAATCCCACTCCTAGGGATATAGTCAAAAGACTGCAACTCAGGTTATTCCAAAGGCACCTGCACACCCATGTTTATTGCTGTACTATTCACAATAGCCAAGTTATGGAAACAACCAAGATGCCCCACCACTGACGAATGGATTGAGAAAATGTGGTATTTATACACAATGGAATTTTACTCAGCCACAAAGAAGAATGAAATTTTGTCACTCGCAAGTAAATGGATGGATCTAGAGAACATCATCTTAAGCAAAGTTAGCCAGGCGCAGAAGACCAAAAATTATATGTTCTCCCTCATGCTAATTATAGACCTAAAACAAATGCGGTAATATTATCAGACATGGGTCACACACTAATGGGAGACCAAACATGGGAGGAATAGGGAAAGGGAAGGAAACCTAAAACTTGAAAGTGTTTGATATGCCCACCGTAGAGGAGCGAATAAAGTAATCTTAAACTGGTAGAGGCCACTATGGGAAGGTGACTGGGAATTAGTGAAGAGGTCTGGTAGGGATGAACTAGTTCGGGTTGTAATATACATGTGCATGGAAGCAATGCTAGGAATCTCTCTGTATACATATCTTTATCTCAAGCTAGCAAAAATGCTATGTCTTTCTTATTGTCTCTTAGGTTTTCTCTTCAACAAAACTGGAGAAGAGCTGCCTGGAAGCAAGGGAGGAAGTGGTTAGAGGGAGGAAGGTAGGGGGCAAGGGGAAGAGATGGCCTAAACAATGTATGCACATATGAATAAATTTTTATGTAAGAAAAAAAGAAGTGGTGATGCCTTGAATATGTGAGGATGGAGGTGGTGGTTGGGAGGAGGGAAAACCAGTAAACATACAGAGAAACTGTCTGCATAGGTTATCAAGCGTCAATGTATCCGCTCAGCTGAAGAAGAAAAAGGAGAGTGAAACCACAATAGAGTGACTAGTTCTAACAAGTTTGTTCAAAATACATGGAAAGACATGTGTCAGGTTTCCTCTTGTGGAGGCTTCAGTCATGATTCACTATCTCTAAGTTATTTTCATTACTACACCCTTGTTCTCAGATTGTCTCTAGCAAGACTGTAGTCTCCTGCTGAACCCCTGTCTTAATCATCATCATCATCGTATTCTGGCTATTCAGTCTCTCCTAGCTGTGGATTGGCATCTGATAATAATCCACTGTATTTCTGTGAAGTGTAATCACTGTCCCTAAGGGATAAAAAACTGCCCTGAATAAAGAGTAAATTTGGAAAGGCCCTGGAATTCATCCCTGTCCGTTGTCTTCCTCTACTCTGCACACAAACTGCTCTTTTGACTAAATGTAATTCAAGTACCCCACAACATGGCACCACATCTCCTATCTAGAGTTTTTTTCATCATGACTTTCTATGTTACTTGGATGTTTTAGCAAACCTGGTTATTATGTTACCATTCCTCAAGTCCTCTTGATTCCCTACCTTCATGCCTCCTGTAACATTTCTCGCTGCTTATAATATCTTCTTGTTCCTAATTTAAAACATTGTGTCACCTTTATTTTCTAAGGAGTCTTTCAGTTTCACCTCACCATGACACCGGTAGCAGAAGTGGCCAATGAGCCACCTCTACATCCCTATTTTCCAGTTCTTTGTCCTTGGTCCCATTTCACTGTGCTCAGTTCCTAACAGTTTTCATCTGTGAACTTGAGAGCCTGTCCTTCAACCTCCTGCCAAGCTCCTGGGGGGTTGTTTTTATCTGGGCCACTGCTCATAACCAACATGTGCCTAGTGTTAGAGGATGAAAGCCTAGCTTTCTTTCCTAAGAGAAGCACAAAATCTGAAGTGTAACCTATACTCAGGACTTCCTGCCAGTCAGGCTGATGACTTTGTCTGAAGTCAATTGCGTGCGTGCTTGGCAACTTCTCTAGCCCTGTGCTGCTTCCTCCCACTCTCTTACCGGTTTCTTCTAAGGCACTTTATTAATAATTCATTTGTCCAGTTTTCTTTGTTTAAGGGTCTGATTCTGGGGAAGTTGACCTAATAACTTTCCTCATAACTTCAAATAAGAAGCAGCAATAATGCTTTCATTGACTTATTATTCATTCACTCATGTAGTTATAACATATTACACTGCATAACATTTACTCATTCTTTTAATATATAACGTACTCATTATATAATTTTGAGAGCCTACTATCTGCCATGTTCTATTCTTCCAGATGTCAAGGATGCAATGATGTATCCTCCTTATACATTTTAGTGTCACTTTTATTGCAATCATTCATATTCTTTCCCAATCACTTCTGCTCTAGTATAATAATTTTGGGACAGGAAGGACATCTTCTCTATATTTGGGTCACAGGGCTTTATATTTGTAATTGAGAAGTGCATTTATTTTTTGTGATGAGTCAGAGAGAAGGAGGAGGAGGAGGAGAAAAAGCAGAAGGAGGAGGAGGGGATAGGGGAGGAGGAGAGGGGAGGGAGGAGGAGAAGAGGAAGAAGAAGAAGAAGAGAAGGAGGAGGAGGAAGAAAAGGAAGGAGTAAGGGAAGGAAGGAAGGAGGAAGGGAAGGAAAAAAGGAAGGAGGAGAAGGAGAAAAGAGTTTGATTCTAAGTGAGGAACACAATGGGTGATGGACTAATAAAAACATAGGGTCAATAATAGACTGGTCAGCCTCATTTTCCTTGATTAATTTTATGATGTTAAAAACAAAGAAGTGCATAAGTACTCAGTTATTTCCAATTCTAGCTTACCATTTCATCAACAGGTTTGAACTCATCATCCAGAGACACAATTCGAATCATTACTGAGGAAGGAAATAAAGATAATATAAAGAAAGTTATTCATCTTTTGTGTTATACAGCCTTTCTATCCAAAGGATTAGCTTAAGTGAATCAGAAAGCAGTAGATTATTGCAGTCTGTGGCAATTAGTTACACACAGAGCCAATGAAATACATATCACACAAGGTTATCATGCTGGATTTGTTATGTCAGACTGCCAAGAAAGTGTTCAGCAAAACTACTTCTGTCATTCTTTTACTCTTATCTGTACTTTCTCCTCCTACACATCATAAATTTGGTCACAGCTTTCAAAATTAATACAAGTGTTTTAGAATTATGTCAAACCCAGGGGATATTTGTTTAAGGTGCTGGGGATTGAACCAGGGCCTTGCATGTACTTGGCAAGAGCTGTACAACTTGAACTATACCCCAGCCTTTTAACCCAGGAAATATTTGTGATATCTGCATAATATTAGATTTCATACCAATATGTTTTATTACTATTTCTTTTAGGGAGGCTACAGTTATTGTGAAATGTGTGTTGTTGAAAATGTCAATTCAAAATTCACTCAGGAGTTATTTTGTTGAAAAAATTCATGTATTTCTGTGCACTGCCCCAAATATTCCCCCTATCTAGACATACCATAATTAGTTTTTCAAACACTCAGCTTTCTGGATTTCAAATTATGAAAACAGTAAACAGTTTTTCAGTTAAAAACTTTAAACTGGGACATTTTAAAATTTAAAATGGGATATTTTCAGAGTCTAACATTATGTACATAGAGATTTTAAAGGAGTGTTCTCAGCATAATCTTTGTGTCAGGTATTTTATTAATTCATTCATTCTTAAATGCAAAATTTCTTCAATGCTATTTTTAATACTTCATAGAGATATCTTTTGGGACAACTGCTCTGCCCACACCCCTCTTGTCAGAACACCCAAAAAGATCAATCCCTGGCAGTCCTACTGGCTCTGTGTGACCCTATATTTTGGCCTGGTCACCTGATCCAAGCTGCACAGGGTCATGTAATTTAAACTGATATCATTCACATACATATACTAAACAAATCACCAGAAGAGCAGCGAATTGTCAACTGGGGCAAAACTTATTCCTCATAGAATAGTTAACTGGTTAACTGCTGACAAGTGCTAAAAGAATAAATGTTTGAGTTTCTTTTCTGGGCTGTGGGACTGCTGCTGCTTTCTCAGGCCAAGTAGGGAAGTTAAAACAAATCTGAAGAGATTTGTTTCAGTTGTTAAAAGCATTCTTCAGAGGTTCTTTTCTTTTTTCGACAGGAGCTTACTATGGTCCAGGCTGGCCAGCAACTCATGATCCTCCTGCCTCAGCCTCCAAAGTGCTGGAATTATAGTCATGTGTCACAATGCTGGACTATCTTTGAGATTTTTGGTGAAGTTTCTTTTTTTTTTTTTTTTCCCCTCTGCTCAATTCCTGATAAGTATACGCTATTTAAGAAGGAAGCTAAAATACTAAGTTTAATGTTTAAATAATTAAAATATCTTATTATTCCAAATCTATGTTCTTGCAGGGTAAATACTTTAAACAAATGCAATGGAACTATTAGTACAGCATTTCGGGGAATAAGAAGGAGGAGATTATTTTGGGGAGACCTTGGAATCTGAAATGATATGAGTTGAAACATGCTCCACATTCCTTAGGACCCACCTTGTGGTCATTGCCTGTTGGATAGCAGACAAATGAAGTGATTGTCCTATTCTTGTTTCTAAGGTCTGAGTTAGCGTTCATTGTTTTTTTTTTTTTAATTTCAGGCAAGTTTGGGCAGAAATCACTACAGCAATAGTCAGGAAGAACCCATCAAATAAGCCACACAGATAATTGCAGTCAAACCAGAGCCTTAATGATTTCATTCATTGCAAAAATAAGATACTTTGTATATGATAAATGCCAAATATGAAACTGGAAAACACAGTCTAAAAAATGTACCTGGATAATTTATAAGTTCTTTTTTAAGATTTCAAATGGTCAAATTTACAATAACAGCCATCGATAGTATCCTGTATAGTTCCTAACATACATTCTAATCTATAATTTCTTAGCAGATGGGAGCAAAAGAAATACATAGGCTTCAGATTGAAGATAGTGGTCCATATAAAGCAACAGTCCTTATTAAACTCTGCTTTCTCCAGCACTTCTTAACAAGAATCCTAAGACTTTTTGGGCATTCTTTTTTGTTCACTACATGCAATCCTCCTCTTCCTGAGGACTTCTGGCCACATTAGAGATGAATTAATAATGTTTGTTCAACAATTATTGATGTTGCCCAAACTTCAGAACTGAACCATGTTTTTCCATCTGTTACCTCAGTACTGATGTGAACAATCCATTTTCTTGACTGCTCTGAATCAAGGGAGTGAGGCAAAGGACAAGGGGAGGGTATGGGGTAGAAATGTATATTCAGCACAGTTTCTACAGCTTTAGTACATATTTGTCACCTCCCTCAGTTGGGGTTTTTCCAAAATCCCTATATGTTGATAGCTAAACAAGCTGTGATGACAATAATCCTTAGTTCACTCACACCTGCCTCACTGGTGAAGTGTTAACCACCAAGTCAGTATTCAAAGCAATCTTTTCCTTCTTTTTATGTTAGAGCTTCTCAATGCATGCCCACTGAGCCTCAGGATCAAAACCACCTTTGAGAATTATTTTTAAAACACAGATTTAAAAATTACCCTATTTTAAAGTTACCCTAACTAATGATTGTTTTACTCACTGAAGATGGAGAGCCACCCTTTGTAGCTTTTTGGTTCTTTGTGATATTTGATGGACAGTTGGACAGAAATAATTAGAAGACAACTATTTGTTTGAAGAGACTCCATCATTTAAAAATTATATTTGCATTCATGTTTCATGATTATAGATAATACTAATGGAAAAACAGTCAGGGAAGAACAAGTATGGCCTAGGGGGCCATAACTGATACAGTACTAGAGTTGACCATCCATATCTGTGGGTTCCACATCTGTGGATTCTATTAACTAAAGACTGAAAATACACACAAAATATTTGCATGTGTACTAAACACGTGCAGACATTTTTTCTTGCCATTATTCCCTAATCAATATATTATAACAATGATTTACATAGCATTTGGGTATTATCAGTTATCTAGAGATAGATATGTTCCTATATGTGTGGCTGTGCATAGGTTCTATGCAAATATTGTGCTGTATTATATAAGGGATCCAAGCATCCACAGAATTTGGTACCATCAGGGGTCCTAGATCTAGTCACCCCTCGATACTGAGGGACAGTGTTGGTTTCCTTAATATTTTAAGAAAGCTAAAGTGCCCTGAGAATGATAATAATATTAAGAATATTAATAGCTAATAATTGAAGGAGTAAATTTATGAACTAACATATGAGAATAGTGTAATAGCATATTCCATTAAACTTTTAATGCATAAGATCTTTCCAAAATGTATCTTAAAAATAAAATGGCACTATGTATTTATATTTTCCACATAAATAAATGTTTAAATTGCAATTTATTAGTCAGGGTAACCACTGTTATATTTCATAGATTGTTAGGAATCTGTGAATGTAATTATAAGTTGAATAAAAAATTTGTCATGTCTATATCGAAAAGTAATATTTTTTATTTAATATATTTTTTCAGAAGAAAACTATTGAGGGTAGCCACTGTTAAGTTTTTTCCTAAAAAAAAAAATATAGATTTTTTTTGCCCAAAACTTTTCTCCTTGTTTTCATGCCCACCCTTTTTGCTCAAGCATAGTAGACAACTCAGTGGAAATACTATAAAGACGTTCCCTTTGTGGTTTAATGATATGTATAGATTTATCAGAACAGTCTTCAGACTGTTTCATCATGGCACAGTGCCCAAATCTATATGGAGTGACTCATCACAGACATTACTTAGCTACACTAAAATTCTTACTCACCCACATAGTCAGGGACTTAAAAAAAAATTCTTTCATTCACTTCCCCTTGTTTTCCTTCCTTTTTGCATCAGCGTCCTAGAATCAATCCCCAGATACTAAAGGACGATTGTATCTTAACACTTTTAAGAAAGCTAAAATATCTTGAAAAAAAAAATAAGCTGGGCACAGTGACACACTCCTACAATCCTCACTACACAGGAAGCAGCAATAGAGACGATTGCAGTGCAAGGCCAGCGTGGGCAAAAAGTTCATAAGACCATAATCTCAACCAATAAAAAGTTGGATGTGGTGGTGTGTGTCTGTCATCCCAACTATGCAAGAAGCATGGATAGGAGGATAGCCTGGACATAAGTGCTATCTCAGGATAAATCTAAGCAAAAAGGAAGAGGGGCTAAGGTGTGACTCAGGTGATAGAGTGTCTACCTGGCAAGTGCAGGGACCTGAGTTCAAAGCCCAGTACCACCAAAAAAAAAATAAATAAAATATACTATAAATATTAATTATCCATTTGTTTTTTTCTACTACAAATGAGTCTATTTACCATTTAAAGACAGATTTTAAATTATGTCTATCTCTGTGCTTTCTCAAGTGTAGTTTATCTCTGAAATGCCTTTCTTTTTTACTGCTGTAATTATGTTCATTATCCTCTTCTAAGCTGAGGGATGAAAAGAGACTTTTCAGTTTAATTCAATGTCATGCTGTTCATTCTACCATTAGACCTTCTCCAGCTACTAGGAGTACCTCTTGACATGTTCTTGAAACACTTTGCACCATTTTATTTCTAATTCAACTATAATTGTGTAAATTTGCACTTGCTAAAATTTCATGATTCCCCATATTATTTTAGAATAATACAGATATTATTAGAATGTTAAGGATCTCCTTAAAAATACAGTTTCTGAGGCTCTGTACCCAAGATTGACTAAGACTAAATTTCTTGCATTTAGTTTATATAATCTGCATTTTTATTTTGCATTTTTGATCCACCTTTCTAATGGATTATAACACAATGAATTTTCTGAGCTTGTCTTGTGTACATGAGTTTAAATATTCTATAAATGCAGGGACTGCAAACCTTGATACAGCGTTCTGGAGTCCACAGAGCTGTTTGCAGGCTGAGCCTATCATCTATGAGTCACTGCCTTCTCCGCAACACACAAAGACTGTACGTGACTTTCAGAGATCCCGCTATCTTCTTTGTAATGAAAACATGCCAGCAGTTATAGATCCCGGCTGACAGCTGGCAGAGGCCTCAGCCTGGGCCTGCTTTACCTCTCACATACGTATACCCCTGCATGTGACATCGGTAACTCTTAAGTGTTCCAACTTGGCTGAGTGCCCTTTGATGGATGAAGAGAGCCTCAGACCAAGGCTCCTATGCCCAGTTCCCACGTGGCCCTCGATGGACCTCATTCTGTTTGATCTGTTTTAAGAACGGAAGGGTTTTGGGATTTTTTTTGGTGGTACTGGGGTTTGAATTCAGGGTCACACACTTGTTTAACAAGAGCTCTGCCACTTAAGCCACAAAAAAAAAATTCTATAAATGATACCAGTTGAGGGTAATGTAATTTAGGTATGCACACCTTTCTGTCCAGGCTTGTAGATGGGTTTATCTGTCTGTACAAAGACCACGTTTTCCCTGGCCCTGATTGCCACAGATCTTCTCTCTTCAAGGTTGACAGTGGCTCCTTTAGTAGAAAATGTGATAAAAGCCAGTGGATCCAATTGGGCCTGAGGAACCTAGAAAGCAAATAGATAATTTGTGAGACAGGTGTTTTGTCATGCAATCTCTATTAGCAATTGTGTATTGGTGTCCTACAAGCTGTGATTCACAAATTGTCATTTCTTAGTATTCTTCTTTTGTGGTACTGGAGTTTGAATTCAGGACTTTGTACTTGAAGGCAGATGCTCTCCCATTTGAAAGACAGGTCTCCCTTTTTGTTCAGGCCTCTCTGGGCAATGACCTTCCTATTTTAAGCTTCTTATTATAAACTGAAATGACAAGCAAGTGTCACTATACCCAGCTTTTTCCTAATGAGATAGGATCCTGCAAGCTTTTTGCTTGGGCTGGCTTCCAACTGTGGTCCTCATGATCTCAGCATCCTAAGTAGCTAGGATTGTATGTGTGAGCTACTGGCTCCTGACGGTCTTAATTACTTTCTTATTTCACCATTTAAATAAATTCTCCTCCATCTTTCTTAAAACTTCCCTCTCTGCATGAGTTGCTCTTTGATGGATCTTTTGTCCTTCAACAAATTTCTGTCAAAAAATCCAATGGTTTTGCTCTTGCCCTTATTCAACACCATTTATAGTTGTACTAATGTTATCTCAAACTAAGGACTGCACATATTTTTAAGTAAAATAACTTTACACATACATTCAAATAGTCTCTTTGTCCCTAGAAAGTCAGTTATGTGGATGGCTTTCATGCACCTTCAATATTTATGTTGTACAGTAAGCAGAGTGAAGTATTTACCTGAAAGTTGATGCATTTAAAGAAGTTCTTGCCTGTATCATACTCTTTAAACACTTTTGTCTGGACTTCACCATAGTTGAGGGAAACAGTCAAAACAACGGATTCAGTTAGATTAAAAAGCTGGGCACAAGCTTTATCCAAGGAGCCTTCTTGTAGAACAGAAGGGACCAGTAGAACATACTGCCTACAAAATTTAAGCAAGAATATTAAAATTGAAAGTTTCAAAGAAATAATTGGCTACTTAGCAATTGTTTTGTTAGATGAAGGATTCTGGAGCTTCATAAAAATACATTCCTTTTTAATATTAAAAATACAGAAAAGTGCTAAAACTGAGGTCTTGAAATACATGAAACAAAGATGTTGGCTGTGAATTGAGGCTTGTAGACAAAACAAGAAAATTCCAATAACAAAGAAGGAATTAATTTTAATCATTAGTTCTATAAAGGTTAACAGTGTTGGTGTCCCCATACAATGCTTTTCCTATGAACTGGTATGCACATTCCATTTTACATTTGTCTACTATTTTTCTACCTTCTTTCCCCAACTACTGATTAATGAGCCTCTTCCTTAATAAAAGTACAATTTTTAACTCTAAATTAGCATATATATCAGGCAGAGATAATGGTCTCACTCAAATTTGAAATTTGTAGTAACATTAATATGTTTTGATTACACTTTGAAAAATCAAATCACTGTAATAAAAATGTAGTAAGTTTGAATTTTTAATAACAAACTCTATGTGACTTCTGTATATAATAACACAACTCTAAGCAATCACTTACACTTTTGGAGAATGTGAAAGAGACAGATGAAAGAGAAAAACACCCAGAAGTATTCTCATCCACATCATGATCCAAATTGATGGAGAAGTCAACAGACCACTCGCTAGATTCACCTGCAGGTCAGCGTGCTGGGAGCACAGACATTCTCATAGTCAGAAAAGCCAGCTGTGGCACCAGCTTATATATCCATGCAGGAGCTTTTGCAACCATTTCCTGAATCATTCTCAAAGTGCAGTGAGTGCAACCTAATTGGATACATTCTCTAAATTTTAGTCACCTCCCAATGTCATGTCCATCACATGTTATTAGGTATGTCATTAGAATGTCATCATCCCATTATGACAACTTTTACACCAGCACTTCCTATGCTTAATATGTGATGTCTAGGAGAGAATCTTTCAAGCACAAGCTAAATCTCATTTCAATAAATTTGATTATTAGAAATAAATTGGTATCTGAATAAACTATTAGTTCGTGATTGACAAATAAATCTGTTGAAAATTCAGAATCAATTTATGGTTGGCAATAGTTCCATATAGTTATTATAATAGGAGCCATTTAAAGTAGAAGAAAAAGGCTTAAGGAAGCTCAAAATTGAAAAAATTCAAATATTAGGATGTATTTTGATTACTAATTGTTGCTGTGTTTTCCATATGTTATATTTTTGTAATTCTATATCAAGAGGAAATAATTAAATTAACTGTTGACAAAATTCTAATATAATAATGATAAGAAATACATAGTAACTAAAAGTTTGTTATTGTAAGAATTAATTTTTCTTGCTCTAAATGGTTTATGAATATATCAAGGTGCATAATAAAATAGCATTTATTTGTTCGTTTATTTATCAAGAGAGTTTGTCATATTAGAGATGTGTTTAGACTATTCCCTTAATAAACCATAGGCAGGCACATTTATAAACATATGGCAAGGTGATACCCAATCATCTTCGGAAAAAATGCAACAAACTGTTCTTTAGTCGTTTTCATTACCTCCTGCCTCAGCCACCACCACTCTGCCAAGGATATCCTATAGACAAAGCCCAGATAAGTAGTGGAACAGGTTTGCCTAAGCAGCTAAAGAGAAATTCCCGGAAATAAGGTCACCTCGACTTTCACAATCAGACAGCTTGTGAAGATGAATCTGACTTAGGCAAGCCTCATCAAGGACTAGAGGCCTGCCATATAAAAATATCCTGAAAGGAAAGTTGATGGAAAGGTTATATTTTTTTGCATTTTCTTTTCTTTTCCTTTCCAAAATTATTGCCAAGTATTTTGTGTTTCTCCACCTTTATAGTTTTGACTAAATAAGCAGCTCATAGGACAGTCTCACAATCATTGTGACTTCCTCATATATCACAAAGCTTGCTATTATGCTCCTTCTCTCATATTTCCCTTGTATTAAAAAGACAGAAAATACGTTTTACACTGACAGCAACCGTTTTCTCTAAAAGGAAAATAAATTAAATAATGTCCTCTTTAAAGACTGTTTAGTGGTCTACTATTGTCTTCAGGATAAATCTCCATCTCTAGCAAGTATCTATCTGGGGAAATATAGCTTTTTGCTGCAGAAAGGCAGATAAATGCATCTGACTAATGACATCTTATTCCAGTTTCTTACTATTATATACTTAGGCTAACTAGAAAGGAATAAAGCTAACCCTCACCTGATATTTAGGGCATGATTGTCTTAATGGCCTATTGATTTTTATTTTCTCCTTCTATACGTATATCTAACCCTGTCTAGAAGAACAGCCTGTGAACTTCTTCACCCGAAAGAGTTGACTCAGTCTAAAGAAAACCGGTCCTATGCACTTGGCTAAAGCTATGAACATTATGCTTAATCAATTACTTCTTATATACTAGATGGTGAAAAGTCTCAGACTGATCATTGAAGTTATTCTTTTAAAAAGCAGCACCAAAACCTACTGGTCTGCTTGTCCGTTGCTGATTCCTTAGGGTTTTTCTTTACCTTTGGCTATAACATTCAATCCAAAATGTTAGTTTAAAATTGTCACTTAAAATTTGAAAAATGTAGTCAGGTATATGCTTACACATAGAACATCTTGATTAATTAAAATGCAGAATAGAGATCATATGATTTGTGAGGGACATCTGGAAGTCAAATGTTTTCTAAAACTTTACTAATTCATTACAATTTGGAAGTACCAGCCTAACATTAATAACAGAAAAGTTGATACAAATAATAAAAAATGAAAATTAATGAATACAAATGTTCAAATTTATTGAATAGGAGGGGAAACTTGCAGAGCGCTTCTCTTTTATAGGATGAACTGAATTTATATTTTTATGCTCAGGCATATATAATCTGGTCTATTGACTTGGTGGAGGCAATCATAATTATTAAAAATATGAGTAATATACCTCTAGAAATAAATGTATGTCAACAGTGAGCCTACTACATTGGCTAGCCCATATGAAAATTCTCTAGATTATCAATCTGCACCTAAAATTTGATGTATCTGTTCTTAAAACTTTCTACATGGGGCTCATATTTAGAATTATGTTTTTCTCTTTCTATGGAATTATAATACTTATGGAATATTCTGTTAATATTACTTACACTTGCCTCTTTTTATAAGTTGCATCTGATTTCAAGTTTAATTGTTTACTTTTTCAGACAACCCTAAGATTTCCAAAGTAAATTCTGAAAATTATACAGTATCTATATAGCTATTGGTTATAGATATAGGTATATATCTCCATAACACACCATCTAAATTTGGTAAAAGTAACAAAATTAGAGATAAGGGCAAAATAGTTTCTGCTGGGTATTGAGGGGGGGGAGCGGGAGGGGGTGGAGTGGGTAGTAAGGGAGGGGGCGGGGGCAGGGGGGAGAAATGAACCAAGCCTTGTATGCACATATGAATAATAAAAGAAAAATGAAAAAAAAAATAAATTTGGTAAAAGTCATATAATTGTTTAAATGTGAAACATTAAAGGAAGACAGAAGAATATATGCACACATGAACATAGACATACCCAAGTTCTGGGGGAGTACGCCAATAATAAGAATGTCATTTGCATAAAGAATGCAGAAGAGTTGGTTCTTATTTTCAGTCCATTGCATGGGGAAATTCCCTTCTACTGTGAGAAAAGATTTCACTATTTATAAGAAAGGGATTACATCATTAATAAAGTCAGAGGCATGTACAAAGTGAAGAAACTGATGATGCTGTTTGTCTTTCAGTAAAATTGGTCATGCCATTTCCAGGATATGGGATTCCCCATTTTCTACTCACATAAATCCAGTGTTTGTTTCATTGTCCTGTAAAGCAGAGGTATAGCTCATCAAAACTAAAACAATGCAACGTTGGGAAAGGCCTCTTTAGAAGTACTACAGAGAGTTCCAAACAAAATCTAAATCATTGTTCCTAACATTAATATTGTTGCTTTAGTCAAGAATGCATCTGATGCCTTATATTGGGTTAGTTTTCTCAAAAGAGCAGCAGTTTTTCTTGTGAAATAAGAAAGTGAGTGCAGTAATTGTCAAAATAAAATATAAATAAGATATTAGTCTGAGTGGCTTGTGAGGACATCACAATAATGATATTATAGTAATGGATAACAATGAGTCTTCCCAGTGAACATTCATATATTTAAAATAAAAAATTATATCCAGATATGCCTATAATGCAAAATGATAGGTAATATATACTCTTAAAAAGTAAGTAAATAATATAGTCCCATGAAAAGTAAAAATAAGAATAAATACTATTCAAAGTATATTCCTTTTATTCCAAAGTTAATTTTGAAATATAACTTCTCTTTGTCCTGTATCCTTCCCACATTTCTGGTTTCACATTCTTTAAAGTATGGTTCTTTAGGTAGGTTTCATCATTCTTTTAATCAAGGAAATATTCAGCTTATAGAAAGAACCCCAACCATTTGCAACCATTGACTGCCATCCCTTTGCATAACATCCAGATCCAGTGTCTCTTCTTAGGTACAGGCTAAAAGGCTTAGGGGAAATTTTCCAGGTACTTACCATGACTCATGCAATAAATGGGAACTTGTTCTTGCAGAACCCTGTTCTTGACAAGGTCTCTGTTCAGAACAACAGTGGGCAGACATTTCTTGACATAGAAGACAAGCAATGCTCATCTGTCTTCTCCTTTAAGTCCTCTTTGTGTGAAGACCCAACAGGCGAATGTACTGGTGGTGAGGCTGTCAGGGGTAGCAAGCTCACAATGTTCTCTTCTGGATTACCATTACTCAACACAATAAAGGGTTTATAAACTTGCCTGATTTGGCATTAAATTGTCATTGCAACCAGAAACCTTTTGGCATGGAGGCAGTTGGAGTCTTTTAGATAAAGTGTGTCTGGGAATAAATACCCTGTGTTGGGAATGGTTTGCAGTAGATGCAACCCTTTCATGTAA